GTCTATGCGAAGTTTATAGTATAGAGTATACTTTAATTAGACTTTTATATAGTTATACGACATACTTGTAAATAGTTTATAGTCAATTTGTAGTCTAATTGTATGTATAAATAGAGACATATAGAACGTTAGAGTTTTAGTTAGAGAAAGAGTTTGGGATTTTAGAGAGTTCTTGGTTTTGTATTTTTAGTTGAGTTCTAGTAAGTTTGGAAATTGCTAGGTTGATTAGTGGAAATAGAGATATTAGTACAATTAGTGTCTGGGACACAAATATAGATATTGGTTCAGTACTTTGGATACTTGGAAAGGGATAATAAATACTTACTTTCATCCCCTTAATGTTGACGTCTCTGAGTTAAATCAATAACGATATAACCAAGTCTCTCCTGCTGGACGTCACATTTTTGGTGTCGATTGTGTGGATCTACAACAAGAAAACAGTCAATAAAGATTGTTGTGTAATAAAATTTTCAATAATTGAGTGAATAAAAGCCTGAATGGTTTATGTTAGTAAAACTAATAACTTGTATCATATTAAAGAAAATTTCTGTTTTGTGTTGAGTTAAATTTCTAAAGACAATAAAGAATAGAAGAATATTAGTAATGGATGATAAAGACCATATTCAATAATTTCACAAATGAACAAAGACTCAATGAAGAATGTCCACAAATATATGACCAAATATAAGGATAACAAACAAGCAAGTGGATCTAGAAGTAATAAAACAGGAAGAGAAAAAAGGAATGTATATGTAGAGGATCATTCTATTAAGATGGATCAAGAATAATAATTCAAGAAATGATAAAAGTCTTTTGGATACATCAAATGATCAAGGCTAGTAGAATGGTACAGATCAAATGCAATAACTATTTCGAATGATCACTAATGTTTTGGTTAAAGGAGTTCAACTGAAAAAACATTTTATTGTTAAAATTCTCACCTTTGCTACTGAAACTCAAGGCCTTATAGAATGGTTAAATTTTGTGAAACAGGTATTTTAGGCAGATAATACATATTATGGAGGAAAGAAGGTTGGCAGTAGTGTTCTGAGTTGGTAAATATTTTACTAATCGATTAGTTGCCAACTATAGTTGCAACTAATTGATTATTTACATCACATGGTATTATCAGATGATTAGCCAATCAAACCAAAGAAATTAATTCAGATCTGCCTGACTAGACAGAATTTCTCAGAATTGCACTAGTTGAATGATTAATCGATTAGTTGTTTAAAATTTTTTCAAATCGACTAGTTGGAAAGTTGGCAACTAGTTGATTTTTCAACTAATGATTTGGAACACTAGTTGGCAGTAATTGGCTCACATCTATCCGAACTTGCTGTGTATTGATAGGCAGAACAAAAGTACAAATTACATTATTGAGACAATGATTATACACTCCAACATAGTTTTGCTTATCAATTTTAGCTAGCTTTCTATTTCCAAAATTTGGTTAATCAATGGAGTAACAAATTATTATTCAGACAACAGCATATAAGAGAAATAGTGAATCAATATACTTCAGATATGTTATCATAGTTCAATATCCAAGGTTGGAAATTAATATCCAGAAATAATGAAGATGCAAATGTTTATACAAAGGTTGTGCCTTGATCTCTCTTTAGCCATGGAAACTTTCATGTTAAATATATTACAAGAAGCCATAGACCGAGCCAGAGTATTTGAAATGATATTCTCATATGAATTGGCACTTTGTGGACCTGCAGTGATATATAATACTTTATTAAAAAGTTTGAATCAGTCATCATTAGAGTTTGCAAATACCCATGCTGGCACATAGACACCATGCTGGATATCAGTACCTTGAAATAGTTACAGACACAAAGTACCAGCAGTAAAAATGCTGTACACAAAACATATGCTATATATACAAAACTCTAGTCATCATACTCTCAATAACAATAGATATTACTGTTGCAACAAGCTTTCTAGCCTCAAGTATCGATGCAATCAATGTCATTTCAATTACAACTATTAATGATAAACCTGTGACCAAATACAATAGCACAAGATTTGGTAAGCCAAATTGTTTCCTTGTTAAAAAAAGTTGTAACAATAGTAAAGGGCAACCAAAATAATAGTTACTCTATAGTAAATAAAGGTTATAAGGAGAAAGTTGGCTATAGACTAATTTGTTATTCATGCCAACAACCAAGATTTTACAAGAGACTGTCTGAATATAATTCAACATAATAATGATATTAGAAACATTCTAACTTTAGATAATAGTAGTAACATTATAAATGGTAGTAATGTTTAAAGTAATGATGCATTACAGGCTCAAGATATAATAGCCCAAATGGATAATAGGTTCAGGTATTTAAACTAAAAGATGCATCTTTCAGGAGTGAGTATATATTGATGTTGAAAAATCCTTCAGTAAAAATAATTGAAGAGGCCTATATGGTGAAGCAACAACATAAAAATACAAACAACTTTGATGATGTCAAAGCTCTACTATAGAATAAGCCTATAAAGAAGGTTAATGATGTTAATAAGAAAGTGAATATAAACAAAATAATTCTCATTGATAAAAAAGTGAAGGTTGAGAAAAGAAGAGAACAAAGCCAATTGATCTACCTATAATGTTGATATACAACCTTATTCAATTATGTCAGACTTTCAAAATAAAAAGGCCAACATAACATATGCATAGTTGTTCTAAGCAGCACCAGAAGTAAGAAAAGATGCTTTAAAGTTGCTATACCTGAGACAAGTCACCAAAGTAAAGTTTGCCAATTTTCATCTAGAAAAAACTGATGAGAATTATACAACATCAATATATTGTAATGTCTGAGTAATTGATGGGTCTTCAGGTTTTATAGTGTTTGTAGATTTCTTGAAAAAGGTTAGCATTACAATTAATCATCTTTCAACCATGTTGATGACAAGAATCTATAGTAAACAAAAGTGATTATTGGGTGAAGTTGATTAGTTCTCAGTAATTTTTGGAGAAAAAACTATCACTTTACATGCTGTAGTAATGGATGCTGTGAACTATGCAGCTATTGTTGAAAGTGACTAAATAAAAAAGCAAAAACAAAGTTAGACTAGGAGGCTTGCAAACTTACAATCATAAATAAAGTTAAAGCAATAAAACTTTTGACTAAATATTGTAAACTGGCACATATCAAAGATTGCATTCAAGCAAAGAATACAAATATAAGAGCTATGGAAGAAAAGGGTAAGAAGGTAGATGATGAATTAGATAATGATGACAATAAGAATAGTGAAGAGTCTAACAATAGTAGAAAAAGTACAGACAATAATGATGAAGAAGTGCTGATTAATCAAGAATATATTTTTTAAGAGTTTTGTCCTATAAAGATATTTAATAAAGTTTGCAACTTGTAATGAAGAAAGGTTATGATAATAGTAATTGTATTATAAAAAAATGCTGTGAAAATGATTGAGCAGTGTTTCTTTTAAACAATAATAAAAAAGTGGTCATTGAATTAAACATCAAAAAAATAACTGTAAAACAAAGAGTTAGTAATAAAGAAGTATTAAAAAAATATCAAGACCTCTTTGCATATGAATTATATAAATTAAGTCTGTGGGCATCTCTGGTTGTGTTGGTTAAGAAAAAGAATAGGAAACTTTGTTTCTGTGTTGATTTCTGGAAGTTGAACAAAAAAACAAAACATGATAGTTATCTGTTGTCCTGTATAAATGAATTACTAGAAGCTTTGAAGAATTCTGTGTAGTATACAACATTAGATCTTGCAAGTGGCTTCTGGCAAGTTGAAATAGACCTCTGAAATTAAAAAAAAAAAACAACTTTCACAACAAAATACAGCCTCTATGAATTTGTAGTAATGCTGTTTGGATTAATGAATGCTCTAGCAATATTTCAAAAACATATAGATCATGTCTTTTGTAAAGAAATATAAAAATTCATGTTAGCATATATTGATGATGTGAATATCTATTTGCCTAACATTAATACATATTTGGAGTATATTGATATTGTATTATTGAGGCTTTATAAAGCCAACTTGAAGTTGAATCAAAACAAATATTTTTTGAAAAAGGAATATTTTATATTTGGGTTATAAAATCAGTAGAATGGGTATTGCTGTGGCTGAGTTAAAGATAGTAGATATAAAGAAATTTTTAAGACCAACAAATATACAAGCATTGTAAAGCTTTTTAGAACTTGCCAGATTCTATCCTTGGTTTGTATAAGATTTCTTAAAGATATCTGCACCTTTGTATAAATTATTGAAAAATAATGAAGCATATCAATAGAAAGAAAAACATGAAAAAGCATTTATAGAATTAAAAAAATATTTAATGATAGCCCCAATTTTAATATATCTACAGAATAATAGAAAATTTTTGTTATATATAGACGCATTGCATGTGGCTTTGAATACTATAGCACAGATAGATAAGAAAGATCATAAATATGTTGTTGAGTATACAAGTCAGTCTACAAAACCTTCTGAGAAAAACTATACAATTACTGAATTGGAGTGTTTAGCAATTGTTTGGGCTATAAAAAAGTTTTATTGTTATTTACACAGATCTCAGTTTACTTTAATAACAGATCATAGTGCTTTGACTTAATTGAATAATATACTGAACCCAATAGGCAGAATAGTACAGTATATAATAATATTACAAGATTATAATTTCATAGTCAGATATAAACTTAGAAAACAGATGCTAATATTAATATCTTGTTTAGAATTGCATTTGATCCAAAAAGAAACCTGATATTAGATAAGGAATAAGAAAAAAATGATAGATAGAAAAAGAGATTAAAAAAACTAAAAAAAACAAACATTTATTATAATGCTAATCATTTAAATTCAAATTACAAAGAAAAAAATTCATATTAACTTAACTGCCAGAGTCATTTAGAATTTTTAATTTAGAACAATTCATAATTCATTTAAATCAGAGTTACATAGCTATATATATAAAAAAATTATTTTTATATTCAAGACAAAGCAGACAGATGTAATAAATTACAGACAGCTATAGCAAGTAAATGCAAGAAATGAGCATCTATAGCACTTATAGAGCTTCAAATCTGTATAGAATTGCAAATGTAGAACTGTGAATATCAAAATTATTAGATAAAATGTATATCCACACAACACTTTTACAATAAAAATTACAAGAAAAGTAAATAATTACCAAATAAATTGCAATAATCAGAAATTAAGGCCTATAAACCTAATAATGAAGATAAAATGATAATGCATGAAACATATAATAAATAATGCAAATGATTTATCAAAGACAGATCAAAGAAAATTACAAAGAGACAGTTTTGATGATTTCGAATAAATAAGAAACACGTGATAAGATTGAAAAGTTTTGTAGATATTAAGATTTGAGCAGAGCTTATCTTTTAAGAAGAGAAATATATGATATACCAAAGTTTCAAAATTAAACTTTGCTTATGTAACATTTATAATTTTGCAGTATAACTTTATAATAGTCTATGTGAAGTTTATAGTATAAAGTATACTTTAATTAGACTTTTTTTTTTAAATATTAATGATGAGACCATGTTTCTGTTTTTATTAAAATTTATTTTAACTCTCTTATAAAGCAAAGAATATACAGCTTTCTTACAAGGAAAAAAGAATATAATACTTATACAAAGGAAAGAATAAATTTTAAACTTCATATTCTAAGATAGCAAGAAAAGAAACTCAGACTAATTTATCTGTAGCCTAAACTAACTAAGGTAGCCATAGCTCACCTAGATTTGTAGATTAGTAATTATGTAGTTTAAGTTTGTTTGGTATTTAATCCAAAGAGGATACCAAAATTCTATTTTAGCATGAGCAAAAGTAGCAGATAAGGATTGCGAGAGCTGAAAAGATTAAGAAGGTAAGGAAGAAGGGAAAAAAATAAAGGATTACTAAAAGGTTGGACCAGAAAATGAACAGTACAATAAGATATCCAGATATTGTAATAAATTTGTAAATTAAGATATAAAAGAAATTTAATAGTAATAGTAGAAGCTAATTTAGCATATAATATAGTGTCTTTAAGTAAATTTATTATATCAAGATGAACAAGACCAGATAAAGTTGAATTAATAGATGAGATATGATGATTGTAGTAGAATGTTATACTATTTAAATTTTTAATTTGGTTATAAAGTATAATAATTGATTCTTGTGCAATATCTAGTGATGTAAAGTTGATAACCTGTTGTAAGGAATTGTTAATAAAATTATAAAGTAATGTTGTTAATGAGCAAGTAACCTAATGTAGTGAAGTACTTGTCTGGTTGCAGTGATGGCAATTTGGTAAAGGATAATGATTGTGTTTATATAATATATAAGGTGTAGACAATTCATCAAGAAGAATTTTAACTCAAAATAATTTAAGAGTAGAAGATTGGAAACTATATGAAAAATTAGAAATTTTTTGGTTATTGTTTATATAAAGCCAGTTGATATGAATAGCAATTTGTATCTACTGTTAAAATCTATATTAAGATGACCACAGAGCATAAATATATGTATAACAGATAGTATGAATAGTACATCAAACTGGTAGCTCAAGAAGATGCTTATCAAGTTGAAGAGTATAGTTGGGATTATAAATATTGTATAGTTTGAAAAGAAGAAAATCTGAAGTAAGGTGATAGTGGGCTAGTTGATCAGCAAGATTGTTAAACCGGTCTTCTTGATGTGCAGTAACTTTATGAAAGATGCTTTATAGCTTATATGATTTGATAAGAGTGCACCAAAGTATAGAGTATAATAAGTTTGTAAAAGACAGAATAGATGATAATTCTTTAATACT